TCTTAGGCCTAGTTTAAATCTAAGCCCTAGCCTAAGCTCTAGCCTAAGCCCTAGCCAAAACTCTAGTTTAAGAGAGCCTAAACCCTTTCATCGAGTTCGAAATGAAACTACTTTAGCATAGTCTATTTTTAGCATTTTTACTGTAACATACATCTATTTTTACCAACATTTTATAGCTTAAAACTCTAAAAAAATGATTTTTATTTATTTTTTCTACGATTTTTTGTCTGAATTGGTCTGTCATGGAAGGTAAATTCAATTTTTAATATATTATAATCGAGTTTGAAAGGAAACAGGCTAAATTTATGACATGGAAATTAGAAAAGAATGATATACAAGGTTTATAAATTTTGGTTTTTTTGAAAAACCTGTAACTTTTTGCAAAAAAAAAAAATTTTTTATTTTAATTATAGCCTTAGCTAGCCCTATATAGCCTTAGCTCTACACAGCCTCTATCTTATCCAGCCATAGCCCTCGACAGCCCTACCCTAGCGCCCTATTGCTGAGGCTAGAGCTTAGGCTAGGGCTTAGGCTAGGGCTTAGGCTAGGGCTTAGGCTAGGGCTTAGGCTAGAGCTTAGGCTAGGGCTTAGGCTAGGGCTTAGGCTAGGGCTTAGGCTAGGGCTTAGGCTAGGGCTTAGGCTAGGGCTTAGGCTAGGGCTTAGGCTACCTTATTTAAAAAACTCTTAACAGTCATATCATTGTAGATCCCAACCCACCCCCATCCCATCCGGTGCCATTAGGCCAGAAGCGCCATTTCCTACGAAACCGTCGCCCAAGTGCCTCCGGCAACAACTCGACAGATCAAATGAGAATGTCCATTGTTCATTTTCGACATCGCTTTTTTGTCCGACAGTACGTCTACCCAGTACTATGTTTGTTGTTGTTGATACTATTGATCCGATGGACTATGGATCGAGAGAACAGAGAGGGGTCGGAGTACGGTAGACAATGGCACGACGAAACGAAACGGGTCAAAGTCAATATTGAAACGGTGGCTACACCACTACAACCGGTCTTCGAAGAAACTAAACAGATTGTGGACAACGATGTTAAGGTTGGTTTTTCAAATGTTTTTGAAATTTTTTATTTTTTTTATTTAAGTTTTCAAATATTTTGAAATTTTGTAATTTTTAAAACTTTTTTTTTGTTTTTTTACGTTTTAAATTTAAAAAATTGCATACTGCAAAGGTAAAAATGTTTTGTCGTCAATTTGCATTGCTTAGCACATTAAAAAACGACAAGACTTTTTTAAACGTTTTAATGTTTTTAAAAATTCAAAAACGGGCAAAAAATGAAATTTTAAATTTGAATATGTTATTATAAGTAAAATTTACTTTACTTTACAATTATCAGTCACTTAGGATTATCCAAAAATTGAGTTGAAAAAATAAGGCATTTTTGGTGACGTAATGTCAATAATATAGCGATTTTTTGAAATTCTGCAAAGTTTTTAAAATTTTGAAACATGCATTTTGTAGAGCATAAAATTTTTTGTAGGTATGGTAAATTGTGTTAAGGTTTATTGTTCAGTAAAAAAGATACAGTTAGTTGAAATTTGTAAAAGTCTAAATTTTCTGAGCGGATTCGAACTTTTTTGGTTTTTCGACATTTTCAAATGAGTATAACTTTTTCAAAAAAAGGCTATGATGAGACCAAAATTAGCATAGACGTACTATATGTTGTGCTTTACATTACCTATAATTTGGATTTTAAAAATATTAAAAATTTTTGTAAAATACGGTCTGTTCTCAATAAGATTTTAAAAAAACATAAATAGTTTTAAAAAAAATCTGAAAACAATATGTAAAAATTGATGGTCTTAAAACTAAAATAAGTTAAAAAATAGTTTATAATTTAAAATAAACTAGAAATGTTATATAATTTATAAACCAAAATAAGCCCAAACTTTCTTTTTTGTTACCTAAAATAAGCTTGATTTAATATCTTTGATTGAAAAACAAAGCCTTTGTATAATAGTGTCTATCTTCACTATAATCGCTTGTTGTAAAGTGTTTTAAACCAGTATAATGGATGTCGTCTCACCTTTGTCATTTATAAAATAACATTGCAAAAAAGGTTTGCAAACTCTCCAAATTAATCTTTCTTTTGACTTTTTTTTCATCTGCTTCTTGTAATTGGAACGGGCTGATTTTTGATTATTATAAGCAGAGTTGTTGGTAGGGGGGGGAGGAATTTTTTTTTATTGAAAGGGATGTTTTGTTGTTGGGAGGGGAGTTTTGTTGTTGGAAGGGGTGTTTTGTTGTTGGGAGGGGAGTTTAGTTATTGGGAGGGGCGTTTTGATATTGGGAGGGGAGTTTTGTTGTTGGAAGGGGTGTTTTGTTGAAGGGAAGGGAGTTTTTTTGTCGGGAGGGGACTTTTTATTGGAAGGGGTGTTTTTATATTGGAAGGGGTGTTTTCTTGTTGTAAGAGGTGTTTTGTTATTGAAAGGGGAGTTTCTGTAGGACCTGAAGGCATGAGAAGAACTCAGACTTTACAAAAAAAATATTTGTGAAGGCATGGGTATAGATAAAGTAATGGCAAGTTATAGGTAAAGATAAGGTTTAAGTAGGGCTTGCTTATGATACAATAGGAAATGGTATAGGGTAGGGTAGGGTAGGGTAGGGTAATGTAGGGTAAGGTAAGGTAAGGTAAGGTGAGGTGAGGTAAGGTAAGGTAAGGTGAGGTGAGGTAAAGTAAGGTAAGGTAAGGTAAGGTAAGGTAAGGTAAGGTAAGGTAAGGTAAGGTAAGGTAAGGTAAGGTAAGGTAAGGTAAGGTAAGGTAAGGTAAGGTAAGGTAAGGTAAGGTAAGGTAAGGTAAGGTAAGGTAAGGTAAGGTAAGGTAAGGTAAGGTAAGGTAAGGTAAGGTAAGGTAAGGTAAGGTAAGGTAAGGTAAGGTAAGGTAAGGTAAGGTAAGGTAAGCTATGATATGATAAGGTAAGGTAAAGCAAAAGTACAGTAAGAGGTGGTTAGCCGTACTAAACCAAACTTTTAGAAATTCAAACGAATAATATTTTACTGTTTGCTGACGGTACGCAATATCATATAGTAGTAGGTCAAAACGTTTCAAACTTGCAAGACTTTGTAAACAATAAAACCGGTTTGTCCACCTTTAAAAAGGCGTGAAATCCGAGGAAAGTGGAAGTGACATAGGTGATTTGTCATTGACTTTTGTCGCGGTAAACAAGGGTGTGAGACAGATAAGGGACAGGTGTTTTGGAGCGGTAAATCTTCAGGGTGTGAACATGATCAACTTGTTGTTCTGGGAGTTTTTGAAGACTTTTGTTTTTGAGCGGTTTCATTACTGTAATGGCTGACAAATTTCAGAGTTTTGTGTAAAGGTAGGGTAAGGTAGTGTAGAGTAGGATAAGTAGGGTAGATACGATAGGTAGGATAGGATAAGGTAGGGTAGGGTAGAGTATGGTAGGGTAGGGTAGGGTAGGGTAAGGTGGGGTAGGGTAGGGTAGGGTAGGGTAGGGGTAGGGTAGGGTAGGGTAGGGTGGGGGTAGGGTAGGGTCGGGTAAAGTAGGGTAGTTGAAAATTTTAGTTTTTTTCGCGTAATAGGCTATTTTTTTTGGTCTTATAGAGGGTGCGGAGCCATTTTGAAAATAAAATTTTTTTTGTGAAAAAGTCCGTTTTTTGAAATTTCGTTTTTTTAAAATTTTAGTTTAATTTATAGGTTTTGTAAAGGCTTAGAGGGTTTAAAACCGAAATTAAGCTAATAACCCTTAATCCTAAGCTGAATTGATAAAAATTTTAAACCCTAAACTAAACAGATAACTATAGTTTCAAATTTGCAACTCACTGATAAGTATTTGAACTCCAAATTCAACTGATAATTCTTTTCAAAACAATTTTCAAAAGTGTTTCGAAGCGGTCAGTTTTGTTTAGTTTTCTTATCGTTCGCTCGTCCATTCGGAAAACGATTATTTTGTTTCGTTGAGGCGATTACTTTCGTTACAGAAGACGATCGTCTGTAGTGAGCAAATTGCGGGTTTTTGGCGATTATTCAATGCTTTACGTGAAACGTCATGTTTCATGTCATTTTTCGAGCATTAGAACTCGTTTTGTATGTCAGGTTTTTGTTTTATTGCGGTTTAATGAGGGTAGAGCAGGGTAGAAAAGAATAGAGGAGGGTATAGTAGAAAAAATGGGGTAGGGCAGGATAGGTTAGGGTATGGTAAGGTAGGGTAGGGTGGGATATGAAATAGGGCAAGTTAAAAACAAGGCTAAGGCAGAGTTAGAGTAAAGCGAAACTAGGTTTAGGGTAGGGTAGGGTAAGAAAGAATAGATTAACGTCGCTTCGTGTAGCGCCGAAGCTCAACGTTTAGACCCGGCTTGTTTCCGGTAGGCCTGGGCTCACAGTTTAGTCTCGGCCATAATTTTTAAGCCCGGTTCACGGGTTGGACCCAATTTTCTGGTTCGGCCCGCTTAACATTTAATTCATGACTGACCTGTTTTTTAGCATGGTACAGTAGTATAGGGTATGATAGGCAAGATAGGTTAGAGTAGGGTATCTTTGGATAAGGTAATGCAGGGTTAGGGTGGGGCAAAGCTAGGGCTACTGTAGGTAAGATAGGGTAACGTAAGGTAGGTTAAGGTAAAGCTAAGTCTAGGACAGGGTTAGGAAGGGCAATGCCGAGGGTAGAGTTAGATGTATGAAATTTATAAGTTTTGTTTTTTGAAATGTCAAATAACAAAACCTTTTTTATTACTGTACTTTGGGAATAATCTATTCATCGCAATAGTAAAAGTTATATAAAAACCTATGTTTTTATAGGAAAAACAATTATTTTTCACTTGTTTTTCATTATGACTATCCATAGTCATGTTATATTACGGGTTAGATTTGTATTTTTTGTCATGAGATTTTGAAAATATTTTTTTTATAATGTTGGGTTATCCGTAGCTTCCTTTTACGTCACATTGTCATTATTTTAATAAAATGTCGCGAGTTTTATCAAAAGTCGACCAAATCCTTCTTCAGATTATACTGGTTTATCATGTTGTTAATGACAATAGTATTATGTTGTTTTTTGTCGGCGAATGCTTGGGTAAGCTTATTAAAATGAATTGGAAATAATAATATTATAGGCAATTTTGAAAATTAGTATTAAAAATTAAAAAAAGTTCAAAATATTAGACAAGGTTGGGTTTAGACGATTTTTTAGGATTTTAGGATGTTGTAGTAGACAAATAAGGCTGAAAAATTTAAAAAAGTTTAAAGTTTGAAAAGTTAAAAATTAAAAAGTGTAGCCTTAATAGCTATAGCTCTAGCATTATTCCTAACTTTAGCCTTAGTATTAGCTTTAGTTTTAGCTTTAGTCTTAGCTTTAGCCTTAGATTTAGCTGTAGCCTTAGCTTTAGTCTTAGTCTTACTTAGCCTTAGTTTTAGTCTTAGTTTTTGCCTTAGCTTTAGTCTTAGCTTTAGCCTTAGGTCCATGCTTAATTTTAGCTTTAGTCTTAGAGCTAGCTCTAACTCTAGTCTTAGCTCTAGTCCTAGGCCGAGCCTTAGCCTTATCGTTAGCATCTAGCTACAACTCCAGTTTTAGTTACAGCCTTTGTCCTAGCTTTAATCCTAGCTTTTGCTTTAGATGCAGCTTTAGCGCTAATCTTAGCATTAGCATTAGGATTAGTTTTAACCTTGGTTTTGACGTTTTCTCTAGGTTTAGCTTTTGCAGTAGAGTTAGCCTTAACCTTGGTTTTGTTTTTCGCACTAGGTTTAGCTTTAGGCCAGGCCATAGTTCTAGACTTGTCTTTAACTTTAATCCTAGCTTTGACGCTTAGTGATATGGGTTTTATTTCCGTCTTTTTTGGTTTAAGGCTTGTTCAAGGCTTTAAGTAGGCGTAATTAAAGATTTCTACTCAATTTTTTAAAGGTTTACTTTAGGCTATTAAAATTTTGATTTTACGGTGTAAATTTAAATTAATAAAATGAAAAAGATATAAAAAATAAAATTTGAAAACTCAAAAACTAACCAAAATAAAGTCAAAACCCTATGTTATACTAACCTATTACTAACATTTTTATTGTGTGCGCATAGTTTTACTTTGCTTGATTTCAGAGACCAGCTCCAGTAGCCAAAAAACCGACCGGTAATACGGTGACGTTGGAGGTTTATATGGAAGCACAGTGTCCAGACACTTCAGCCTTCATTCATAGACAATTGGTACCAACATGGGCCAAGTTGGGACACTTGCAGCGAATTAATGTGACAATTGTGCCATTTGGGAAGGCTAGTTGTACTCCGAACGGCGAAGATTTTAGGTATGTGTTTGGATTGGAAATTGAGATTTTGGAAGTTTTAGGTAACATTTTTGGAAAAACATGTTGTTTTAGGCAACATTTTTGGATAAAATTGTAATTTTAGGCAATTTTAGGTAACAATTTCAAAAAAAATGTGATTTCAGACACTTTTAGGTAACAAATTTTCAATAAAATGTGATTTTAGGTAGTATTTCTGAAAAAAAGTACCATTTTAGGTAACATTTTTCAGTTTCTAACGTGACTTTTGATCTTTTTTAGCTGTGACTGCCAGCACGGCCCAACCGAATGTGATTTGAATGCCATGATGAATTGTGCGATGGAACGACTGGTGCAACCAAGAGAATATGTACCACTAATTGGGTGTATTCAAGGCAGTGACGATGTGAAATCAGCAGCAGCCAAATGCTTCAGTCCGGGGGCTGATAAGGAGTGGTAAGATTGTTTTTCATCTAGCTTTATCTCAAGTGCTAGCCTAATCCAGATTCTAAGCTTTAGCCTAAAACTCAGCCTAAGCTCTAGCCTAAGCTTTAACTTACGGCTTGGCTTAAGTCTTAGCTTAAGAGTACACCCTAGTCTAAGCCCTAGCCTAAGCCCTAGCCTAAGCCCTAGCCTAAGCCCTAGCCTAAGCCTTAGCCTAAGCCCTAGCCTAAGCCCTAGCCTAAGCCCTAGCCTAAGCCCTAGCCTAAGCCCTAGCCTAAGCCCTAGCCTAAGCCCTAGCCTAAGCCCTAGCCTAAGCCCTAGCCTAAGTCCTAGCCTAAGCCCTAGCTTAAGCCCTAGCCTAAGCCTTAGTCTAAGCTCTAGCCTAAGCCTTAGCCTAAGCCCTAGCCTAAGTCCTAGCCTAAGCTCTAGCTTAAGCCTTAGCCTAAGCTCTAGCCTAAGCCCTAGCCTAAGTCCTAGCCTAAGCCCTAGCTTAAGCATAAACTTTAGCCTAAGCCCTGGCCTAACAATAAGCCGTAGGTTCATCTCTAGCTTAAGCTCTAGCCTAATCTCTACTAGGGCCTCAGCTCTGGTTCAAGCTTTTTGTCCTAGTCGTAACTTTAGTCTAAGCCTCAGCCTAGGCTTAAATTTAAGCCTTTGTCTAAGCTTTAGCCCAGGCTTTCACTTTGGTTTAGTCCGAACCTTACCTTAAAAGCTAGCCGAGTTCTTAGCTGACGTTTCAGGTGAAACTCTAGTTTTAGCTTTTTTAAAACTTTACTTTTCGTATTTTACCACCAAATCCAATTCCAGGATCTCTCAATGCGCCCGATCAAAGCGCGGTCGTTACCTCTTGGCTATGGCCGGACAAAGGACAAACCTATTGGGACCAGTCTTCAATTTCGTACCATGGGTCATTATTGATGGTACCAGAGACATTGACAGTTTTTATGCGTTGGAAGAGAACGTTTGTAAACGATTGAATTCACCAACACCAGCCGAATGTCTACCTGGCAACAATCAACAACAAGCTCAGGCCATCGAACAGCCTTTTCGTCTTTAATAAAATGGCACTTCTTAATTGAATTGTTGGTTGTATTGATTGATTTCTTGATTGTCTTGTACATTGTTTTGTCTGAAATTGTGGCTTTTTTTATATTATACATATCTGGTGGGTAGGGTGGTTTGTTTAGATTACCTTTGGCGGTTTTTTGGATTTTTTGAGTTGTACTTTTAAAAAAAACTTTTTTCGGTGGGGGCGGGTTTTAGAAATTGAGTTTTTGAACGGAGGAAGGGGGGGGGGAGGATCAAAAATTAAATTTTCTGAAGAAGGCAGGGGTTGAAAAGATAATTGTTAAAGGTAGGGGTTTAAAGAAAGACGTTTCCTATTTTATAGCTAAATTCTAGTCCTGCACCAGCCTTATTTTTGGGCTTAGCTCTAGGCCGAGCTTTAACCCTAGCTCTGGCCGTAGCAGGAGAGGGCGAGCTTTTTTTTGAAAACGGGGTTATATTACAGTACTTTTCTTTGTTGGTTGAAAGTTTGAAACTGATTTGTTTAAGGTTAGGATAATTGTGTAAAGTAGGGCAGGGTAGTATAGGGTAATAATGTAAAGTAAGGCAGGGTAGGATAGGGCAACTGGTTTCAGGATGGTGCCGGTTTGGAAGTCTGCCCTACTTTACTCTATTTGTTCTTACCCTGCCCTATCTTACCCTTCGGTACCTTCCTCTACTCTGCCTTATCCTACCCTTGCTTACCCTACCTTTTCTTACCTCTCTATACCTTATTCTTTCTTGCTGTACGCCACCCTAACTTCCTTATACTGTAACTAAGTTTATCTTTTTTTGAAACTAGCCTTACTATAACTTGTATTTTATTGTAAAGCGTGTCTATTATACAAAAATGCTTACTTTAAACGTGTTTTACTTACCAAACTTTGTTTTTTTTTACTTATTCCGTCTACTATAACATAAGTGTATCTACTTTTATTTTAATATATTTATCTACTTCTATATCAATATGTGTATCTACTGTAACATCAATATTTGCATCTACTTCCATTTTCAATATTTGTATATCATGTGGATGAAATTTACTTTCTTATTTTTACTGGGGATATTGAGCTTTCACGGGTCTTTTTGATGTCACATTAGAAGTTATATTTGATTGTGATTACCTTTTACTGATAACTTTTTTTAAAAGTTTAATAAACTTTTGATTACTTACTGAATTGGCATAGTTTTTCTGGCTTATCACACTGTAAACTATCATTATACTGTAGAAAATATACTGTAACGTGTCATCATACTGTAGAAAATTCTCAAGGGCCAACAAAAACTTTCTATAGACTTTGTTTTTGTGTTCCACTTATTTTTTGACCTCGCTTTTTTATATAAAGCGTTAACAATTGATTCAAAAGTGTTGTTATAGATAGCAGTACACAAAGCCAATTTCAAAAAGAGAGTTGAAATTGATATTTATATGGAATCACAATGTTCTGATACCACAGCATTTTTGAAAAAAGCATTTTTGCCAATTTGGAATAAGTATAAACACCAGATGGATGTTAATATTGTACCGTTTGGTGATGCTAATTGCACAAAGATTGGTACTAGACACTATGAGTAGGTATTAATGAACTGCTGTAGCTTCAGCCCTAGCCCTAGCTCAGAACTCTAGCCCAGAGCCTTAGTTCAGAGCCCTACCCCAGAGCCCTAGCCCATAGCCCTAGCCCAGAGCCCTAGCCCAGAGCCTTAGTTTAGAGCCTTAGCCCAGAGCCCTAGCCTAGAGACCTAGCCCAGAGCCCTAGTCCAAAGCCCTAGCCCAGAACCCTAGCCCAGAGCCCTAGCCCAAAGCCCTAACTCCAAAGCCTTAACCCCAGATCCCTAGCCCCAGAGCCCTAGCCCAGAGCCCTAGTTTAGAGCACTTGCCCAGAGCCCTAGCCCAGAGCGCTAGCCCAGAGTCCTAGCCCAGAGCTCTAGCCCAAAGCCCTAACTCCAAAGCCTTAACCCCAGATCCCTAGCCCCAGAGCCCTAGCCCAAAGCCCTAACTCCAAAGCCTTAACCCCAGATCCCTAGCCCCAGAGCCCTAGCCCAGAGCCCTAGCCCAGAGCGCTAGCCCAGAGTCCTAGCCCAGAGCTCTAGCCCAGAGCCCTAGCCCAGAGCTCTAGCCCAGAGCCCTAGCCCAGAGCTCTAGTCCAAAGCCCTAGCCCAGAACCCTAGCCCAGAGCCCTAGCCCAGAGCCCTAGCCCAGAGCCCTAGCCCAGAGCCCTAATCTAAAGCCTTGTCCATAGCTTATCTTCATTTAAATTACCCTTTTTTAACTTAATCTTAACATCAATTTTGTTAGATGTAACTGCCAGCATGGAGCACTAGAATGCGCATTAAATACTCTGATGAATTGTGTAAAAGAACGTTATGTTAATATATTTCAACATTATATACCACTGATCGTATGTATTCAAGGAGAACAGTCAATAGAAAGTGCAGTAAACAAATGCTTCAAGGATGATAAAGTAAAAAAGGAGTAAGTGAATTCCTTACCCTACCCTACCCTACCCTACCCTACCCTACCCTACCCTACCCTACCCTACCCTACCCTACCCTACCCTACCCTACCCTACCCTACCCTACCCTACCCTACCCTACCCTACCCTACCCTACCCTACCCTACCCTACCCTACCCTACCCTACCCTACCCTACACTACCCTACCCTACCCTACCCTACCCTACCCTACCCTACACTACCCTACCCTATCCTACCTTACCCCTACCCCCACCCTACCTTACCCTACCCTACCCTACCCTACCCTACCCTACCCTACCCTACCCTACCCCTACCCTACCCTACCCTACCCTACCCTACACTACCCTACCCTACCCTACCCTACCCTACACTACCCTACCCTACCCTACCCCTACCCTACCCCACCCTACCTTACCCTACCCTACCCTACCCTACCCTACCTTACCTTACCCTACCCTACCCTACCCTACCCTACCCTACCTTACCCTACCCCACCCTACCTTACCCTACCCTACCCTACCCTACCCTACCCTACCCTACCCTACCCTACCCTACCCTACCCTACCCTACCCTACCTTACCTTACCTTATCCTACTCTACCCTGCCCTGCTCTATCCTACTCTACTCTTCTCTACTTTATCCTACCTTCATATGCCTTTTAAGTTAAAAATTTCCTACATTAGCTTTTATTACCCTACCCTACCTACTGTTCTCTTTCAACCATTGCCATTATCAGATTGACCACCTGTGCCTACTCGAAGCATGGTCGATTCTTACTGGCTCGAGCTGGACAGTTGACGAAACCAAGATTTACTAAACGGTTTTTCGTTCCTGGAGTAATAATCAATGATAGTAACTACACTATAAACGACGTCTTTGAATTCAGAAGTCGTGTATGCACGGAAATGAATCTTTCTCTAGAGCTGGTGGAATGTAAAAATGTCAATTTGTACAAGTAAAACTTTGAATATCAAAATAAGAATTATAAAATAAAGGTTTGGTGCTAAAATACTATATAAAGGTTAACATTTGTTGACCTTACATGAGCCTCATTGTAGGCATCAAAGGCAGCTTTATCGTAGCGTTCTACATCAATCATTAATTAAAAGTAACGCTATTGCAAGCTTCTATTATATAATGAAAAGTAACCGTATTGCAGCCTCTACGATCAAAAGAAAATAATCAATTTAAACTTTTGAAAGGTTAAATAAATATTATGGACAACAGTCAACGCGAATTCGCGTTTAAAATAGTATAAAAATACAAATTTTTAACATTATTCTAAAATTTTCATTTTGATTATCATTATGAAGTATTTTGTGTTCATCATCTCTGTAGCTCTACTTACGGTAAGATTTTTTAGTTTATTTATGTTTTTTGTTACCATACAGACTAGCAGAAGCATGGCATGAAAAATAGTGCTTTGGCTTGTACCGTATTCTAAATTTAATACAGATGAAAGAAATACCGTAAAGCTCCTGTATAACAAACTCTCGTATAACAAAACATCCGTAAGACGAACAACTTTTAAATCCCAGCAACCGTTACGCAGTTCATTTAAAGCTCTTGTATAAATACAACTTTAAAAGGCTCAAACCGTACCTAATGTTTCAGCACGGTTTGACTTTTTTCCAAATTCGCTTTGATCCGGTCACTTATAACTTTCAAATCAGATTTGGATTACACTTTTCGCTAGTCAAATATTTTGACTAAAGAAACTCTTTTAAATACAACAGTCAATTTTAAAATTTTTTATCGTTTCGTCATACAGAAGTTTCATTGTATTAAACATTTTATTTGTAAGTCCGTTTAATACCTTTAACATTTTGATGTGTTAACCATTGTGCCATTCATTTAGGTACTTGTCAACAGCCTGGGCGAATCTGAGCATGTTAACGTCGAAGTGTATACAGAAGCGGGTTGTGGTGACTGTGCTGACTTTTTTGATTATCAACTACGTCCAGTATGGAGGAAGTTCAACCACTTAAACAAACTTATTCTTTCCATCGTTCCTTTTGGGAAAGCGAAATGTGAACCAGAGGGTGAAGATGACTACAAGTAGGTCTTGCAAGGGAATGTTATAAACTGTTTAGACTAAGGCTATGGCTATGGCTATGGCTATGGCTATGGCTATAACTATGGCTATGGCTATGGCTATGGCTATAACTATGGCTATGGCTATGGCTATGGCTATGGCTATGGCTATAGCTATGGCTAAGAGTAAGGCTAAGGCTGAGAATAAACCTAAAGCTTATGCCATGTCTTCAAGTTTTGATTTATTAGGTTGTCCGGAAAGTTCTGCAATATTTGAGTAGGTAAACTTTGAAAAATCAGGAAAAATTTATTTCTTGACGGAAAGAAAAAAATTCTTTTTTTTGTTTGTTTGTTTGTTACCTAAATTATTCAAAAAGGTAAGTTACATAACTTAATTTCATTTTTTTGTATTGTTTTAGGTATTAGAAAAAAATCGAGAAATCTCGCGTGCGCGTGATTATATGGAATGAATTCAAACGCGGAAATACTGCGGCAGAAACCTTCAGAATCATAAACGAAAATGAGGGTAAGAATGTTGTGAGTTATTCTACGGTGACCAGATGGTTCGCAAAGTTTCGTGTGGACGATGAGAAGCTTGAAGACAAACCACGTGCAGGAAGACCCAGCAAACTTGACAAAGATGCCCTGAGGTGCAAGATTGAAGATGACCCACATATTACAATCCGGGAGTTAGAAGATTTACTAAACTGTGGAAAAAGTACCATTGGTGATCATTTGAAGGCAATGGGTATGGTCAAAAAGTTGGACAAATGGGTGCCTCACAATTTGACTGATCTGCAAAAAGCCAAGAGACGATGTGCTTCCGAAAAGCTTCTGCAACGCTGCAAAAACGAAGAATTCTTGGATCGAATTGTAACTATTGACGAGAAGTGGATCTCGTTTAACAATACTAGAAGATCTACAAGTTGGTGTAAGCGTGGAGAAGCTCCTAAGCACGTTCCGAAGCCAGAATTGCACGAAAAGAAGCTTATGGTGACTGTCTGGTGGTGTAGCTCTGGAGTGATCCAGTACGATTTCATGAAACCTGGCCAAAGTATTACGGCCGACACCTACTGTGCCCAGATTGACAAACTGCGACACAATCTTCCAACAATGGTCAGAAGGAGGGGTCCGATCATTCTGCAGGATAACGCACGGCCACATGCTGCAAAGAAGACCGTGGCAAAATTCAGGGAACTGGGATACGAAGTCTTGGAGCACCCTCCTTATTCTCCAGACTTGGCTCCAACGGACTTTCACCTTTTTAAACACTTGTCTTCGTTTCTTAATGGAAGAATCTTCAAAACTCCAGACGATGCCAAGAATGCCTTCAAGAACTTCATCAACTCCAGATACCCGGAATTCTACAATCGTGGAATAAAAAAGCTTGTAAATCGTTGGCAAGACTGTATTGATTCAGACGGTAATTACTTTGATTGATTGTAGTTGTTAATTATATTGTTATTATTGTTAGTTCAAAAGTGAAAAAATATTGCAGAACTTTCCGGACAACCTAATAGATGTTCATGTCAATTTGGCGAGTTAGGTTGCAACCGAACTATTCTGATGAATTGCGTTATGGATAAACTGCTTGATACAAAAGACTACCTAGATATTCTTAATTGTATACACGGATTGCGATGGAAGCCCGATGACGTTGCAGAGAGATGTTTTCCGTCACATCCATCAAAAGATGAGTGGGTTAATATAAGATATTAAAACATCTCAAATTTTTTATTGTTTTGAATACTTACCCTATCCCATATTACCCTATCCTATCTTATACTGCCCTACCCCACCTGCCTTACTTTTCTCTATCTTTGTATTTTATAAAATACCACCTAAATTGGGATTTGTAGGTTCTTGCAATGCTCAGAATCAAAGAAAGGACGTCAGTTGCTAGCCGAAGCTGGCGAACGTACTCCAACTCCTCTCGTAGAAGTTCCACTGGTGATTATAAACGGCAAACGGAATGAAACCAACCTTTACCATTTTGAAGAATTTGTTTGCGACGAATTAGCAGAGCCTAAACCTGATGAATGCACAAAGAGTTTGTGAACCTTTGACTTAAGTAATAAGACTTTTCAAGATTGTTTTGGAATTGAATAAAAGTTGTCATACTTATCGACCAGCTGTGTCTTTAATGCTAGGTAGCATTAACCTTAGCTTTAGCCTAAGCTTTAGCCTTATCTTTGGCCCTAAATTTTCAATTTGGGCTGTTCTGACCTGTAGCCCATATTTTTAAGTTTAGCCTTAGTAAATGCCTTAAATTGAGCTAGAGGTTTAACCTTATTTTTAGCTTTTATCTTAGCTTTAACTTTTAGATATAGGGTTTGGTACATTTGTAGACATAGCTTAGTCTTATCTGTAGCCACAGCTTTAGCTTTAGATATAAGCTTAGTTTGAACTGGTGTGGGTTAGTTTTAGCTTTAGCCGTTTAGATTAAGGGCCAGGTCTTCAAGTTAAAGGTCGGGTCTTCAAGTTAAAGGGCCAGGTCTTCAAGTTAAAGGTCGGGTCTTCAAGTTAAAGGGCCGGGTCTTCAAGTTAAAGGGCCAGGTCTTCAAGTTAAAGGTCGGGTCTTCAAGTTAAAGGTCCGGGTCCTCAAGTTAAAGGTCCGGGTCTTCAAGTTAAAGGGCCGGGTCTTCAAGTTAAAGGGCCAGGTCTTCAAGTTAAAGGTCGGGTCTTCAAGTTAAAGGTCCGGGTCCTCAAGTTAAAGGTCCGGGTCTTCAAGTTAAAGGGCCGGGTCTTCAAGTTAAAGGTCCGGGTCCTCAAGTTAAAGGTCCGGGTCTTCAAGTTAAAGACCCAGGTTTTAAAACTAAAAATGGCAAATTTACTAAATACAAAATAAAATGTTTTAAAATTCACCATCCCTTTATAGTAGTAAAAAATTTCAAGAAATTCCGCTTTTAAAAATAATTTTAGACCATCACCATATCAAAATACAATTTTTATAATCAAAACCACACTAGAAAACATACTTACATATCACTTTTTACCTAGTATCGTGCAGCATGGTAGTCCCGTCCCGCATTTTTGAAACCGACCTCTCTCCAGAAAAGATTTTGACCCGAATGATTTTTTTTCGAAATGACCAAATTTTGTCACCGATATATTCGAAAGTTCATGTTCCAAAAGATTTTTCGCTATTTTTTAAATTTGAATAAAAATGGGTTGGGTCCTATACTTCCAGGATTGGTTGGGTCTTATTTTTCGCATTTGTGGGTCTTATACTTCTTGAGCGCCGAAGATTTTAATAAAAACAATATATTTTAGATCCACAGAGATGCAAGTGAAGTAGTGAATGTAACTTTGTTCATTGAAGCCCAATGCAGTGATACCACAAAGTTTCTGTTTGAACAATTCTTACCTGTTTGGCATAAACTTGGTCAACACATTGCTTTAGAAATTCTACCATATGGAAAAGTAACGTGTCAACAAGTCCGAGGAGATTATAAGTATGGTTTTTACAACTTCACCTTATTTTTGAGCTTTATATTACATCATTTGTAGTCATTTTACTTCCTTGGTTTAGCCATCCTTAGCCCTACTTAAGTCCTACAGTGTTTCCGGCTTAAACGTTCTGGCCTAACCACGGTCTTAACCTAATGTTAGCCCTATTCTATACTCTAACTCAGGGTCAGGCGTTGAGGGGGTAGGGGCCCCTCTCCCCAAAAAAAAATCGAAAAAAGTTGAACGTGGTTCCCACGGTGGATTTTTTCGACCACCGCCCCCAGACCAAAAGTCCCCGCCCGGCCCTGCCCTAACCACATCTTAACCCTGCACTAGTCTATGCTTAACCTTGCCGTTTATCTATCCCATAACAGGTATACTCCGTTTCTAGTACTACTAATATAATCTAAAGTAGCTTTGACCGAACCTTTCCCTAGCAATCGTATGCTTAGTATGCCTTTTTTTATTTTTACTATGATTATCATGTACTAATGTGTCTTTACTCTAACTTACACTATAACTTATCTTGCCCAAGTCCTAGCAAAACGGTTTAAAGAAGTTACAGTAGATAAACAAAATATTTGTTTTAACTTTTAGATGTACTTGTCAACATGGAGAAGATGAATGTGAGTTGGATAGTTTAGCAAATTGTATCTTGAACAACCCAAAACTAAAACATCTTGTAGTACCATTAATAATCTGTATTCAAGGTACCGCTAATGTTAAAGCGGCCGCCAAGAAGTGTTTACGTTATCCTTTTATGAATGCGTAAGTACTACAATATTATCATACCGTGGTAAAACGACTATCATACCACGGTAAAACGACTTGAGTATAGTTGTAAAATGACTAACGCAAGCCTACTATTGCGTTTAAAAACTATTTTAACTAGTTAAGGTATGAATATCAATCAAAATTTTTAACTTTAGAATGGCACGATGTGCTACGTCAAATGAAGGAAGAACGTTACTGGCAGCAGCTGGCAACAGAACCTATCACTACACACGCGGCAATGATCTTTTAGAGGTCCCAACAGTAGCAATAAACGGCATTCCAAACGATTATGCCCTAAGGAATTTGGAGGATACGGTTTGTAGTAACATGAATTCTGTACAGAGAGAAGAACTTTGTCAAGTAAATTGAGCTGCAATGTATAATACTTGAAGAACATAAACCTACTACATTAAAATCTTTTGCCTTGTAGAAAGAAAACATTCCGATTACTAGCCTCAGCTTTAAAATTAGCCTGAGAAGTTAGCTTTAGCCTGAGCTTAAGATTGAGCTAGAGCTAGAGCTGGAGCTAGAGTCTGAGCTAAACTCCGTGTTAAGGCTAGACCCTAAGAAAGAATCTGAGTTACCGCTTGAGCTAGAGCTTGAGCTTAAGTTTGAGCTTGAGTGTAAATCTGAGCCTGAGGGCCAAAACCTGAACTTGAGCTTAAGCTTGAGCCTAAGCCTGAGGGGAGCCTGAGCCTGACGCTGAACTTGAGCTTGAGCCTAAGCTTGAGCCTAAGCCTAAGCCTAAGCCTAAGCCTAAGCCTAAGCCTAAGCCTAAGTTTAAGCCTAAGCATGAGCTTGAGTCTGAGGCTTCTTTAGCTTTGTCTTTAGCTTTTGAATTAGTACTTCATGTAACTCATTTGGCTGTCATCTCTATTATAACCCAACCAGGAAGATACCATCTTTTACCCTGTAATCAAAAACAATGTTCTTCATGTGTACATTCCCAATTTTTTAGTACTATAATATAAACTTATCCCCAACACTTTCCACGAAAAACATTACTTTTTGAGACCACAATGCCTAAAACTCATTAAAGTCGCATTAACATTATAATTCAAATTTCAATGACATGTAGAGTACACATCATTTACGACTTTAAATTACAAAACATATTGTAAAATTTTTTCGTACAGGTGCACCAAACTTGCATCTACAACATTCTATATATATACATGTATATCTATCAAGGACACCAGGTCATGACGATATTAAGCAGTGCCATTTTAAAACTTGTTAATCTCTTTTTGATGTGTTTTCAAAGTGTAGGTGTCTGTCACAATGAGAAATGTAATTTGTCAGCACCTTGTAAGCTTAATCCGGGTTTGTCATACAAAGCTGACACTGTTATACTGGGCGGTTTGAGTGATATCAAGCTAACACCGTAATCCCTAGCCCAAGCATTTGCTTAGACGGTTTAGCTGAAGGATGATTTCTGTTAACTCTTTACATCAAAGGAGGTCCTTGACAGCAGATTACAGTAAAACCAACCAACACAAAACCAATTGCAGTAGCTTACTCAATCTCAAATCTATTCATGTATCTCTCAAAGGACTTATACTGAGGTGAATATGGTGCAAAGATCGTTCCAACAAGATTGGGTGGTCTTAGTCTATTTGGAGCCTACTATAACTATTAAAACACTGACATCATATACATGGTTCTACTTTTCGTATGTTCTTTTTGCGTCTTTACATTATTAATAACGTATTCGAATGATGCGCTGGAAAGCAATAGCTTGTCAAAGACAGGAACGAAACAAATTCATTATTATATTACTTCCACTGCATAAAACAAATGATGTTAGTTTCGAAGTGTATTTTTAGGTCTTGAAAGGTCAAGGTTTAATTTTTTGATTTACTGTAATATTATGAGACTTACACAAAATTGAAAAAATTGGTATGATTTAAAAATAGGTGAGACAAGGCGAGGGAAAGTATAAAGCTAGATTTGAGTAAGGCAGAACCAAGGCAAAAATAATACTATGGTAGGGAAGGCCAGAGTAAGGCTATGGGAATGTTAATATAAGGCTTAGGTTGAAGCAAAATAGAACTGGAATACAAAAATGATAAAGCTATTAAAGAGCCAAAATAAACTTTACATGTTATAACTAGTACTATATGTTACTATTGTTAGTTGTTGTTTTAGTTATATTTGTTGTTAAAATAAATATTTGATTAAAAAACCGTGTAACAAAACTTTTGGCGCACCCTGTAATATAATAAGAAAAAAAGGTAGAGTTCGATAAAGCTATGATAAGAAAAAGGTTGAGCTATAGAGGGCTAGGATAAAGAAAGGGTAGAGTTAGATAGAGCTAAGGTAAGGCAAGGGTAGAGTTAGAAAAGTACAATTTCAGTGTAATATAAAAAACGTCACTATATTTTTGTCTACTACTGTAGATATAATATATTATTATCATATAGCAAAAAGATATATAAAATTTTGTTATTTTATGCATTCCACCTTCAACACGTTTGTTTAACGTTGTTGAACTTTTTATAACCTATTTACGCAAATAAAGTATAGGTTTACACTAATATAAAATTAATGTTTTGGGTCAATTTTATAGGTTTAGTTCAAGTATGAATGGTAAATCATATGAGCCGTTCTAAAAACGAATTTTTATGTACGTTTTGCCTCTATTCCCTATCATCACTACAACCCTGCCCTCTATTACCACCACCTCCGCAATTATGCTCAAACATCCTTGTTGCCTCCTTACTAATTTATATTTTTAAGGTACTATAAGTATCATACTATGTTTAGTATATCAGTATTCTCTTACTGTACCTTTTGCAAAAATTGCGTCAAAGACAAATTTTATTATTAGCTAGATATTTTTGGCTGCTTTAATATGCAAAAACGTTAAAAGAAGTTTGTTTGAACTCTTACATTATGAGTCAGAATTTTAATTCAGCTCCTGCGGTGCAATGCTTGAATACACGATGCTAAAATTGAAAAGAAAAACAAATACGTAGGGTTCGAAACTATGTAACAATAGGTACATTAACCGTATTAACTACGAAATATTTTCGAAATTTTGTTTTTAAATTTATTGAAAAAAATGTTTACATATAATACTTAACTTAAAAAAATCGATGGGAGAGGGGACAGCAGGCTCGGCCCAGACTTCAGAAAGGGATCCTACTAAGACAGTGACAAAAAAAAATTAAAAAGACCACGCCGGTCTGAATCGTTCTGGCCCGAAGACCGGGCTTAAATTAATTTTTCAGAGGTGTAGGTTAAGCCAATTTATATAAGGGGCCGGATCAAAGCAAATTTAAAAATAGTCTATCCGTGCTGGATCGACATACAATGAACTCCCGATGCAACGAATCTCAAAAGAATTGATTCGTTAGCTGTATCGGGGTTCCGTTATAACCGGAGTTCGTTTGTATAACGAACAAATATCAAGTCCCCGAGCGATTCGTTATACAGGGGTTCGACTGTATGGTATAACGGAAATTTCGTAATAAGCGGAGTCCTATTAGCGAGGTTTCACTGTATGTGGGTTCACAGGCCCAGCCGTAAAATTAAGACGTTCATTTTTTTCGCAAAAAACCTGAGCTGGTAGGTCCCAAATTGGAAAATTCATTTCGACACCGACCCACTCACGTTTTTTGAGAAAAATGATTTTGATTGAAATTGCCTGATTTTCGACGCTTTTTGCGACAGAATGCCAATGATATTTGAATGGACGAACTGGTCCTTTAATAGAGCCATTTATTTACTCAGCACATAAACTATGATAGAATGTTTAAATAAACAGTAAAAAATCAAAATTTTATTAAACGGAAGTTTTGTTATGAAGGGATTCGCTCTACAGAAGTTTTACTGTAGTTAAAAACGTAATTATGTGTTATTTACAAATTTGTAATGCTGTAACATTACAACTGTTTTGAGCCCACTTTTGTAAACAGCTTATCAAAGTGATGGATGTAACTCGAACAACCGTTGCAGGTTTACTGTAACAAAAGTGAATGCTCTGAATTCCTTTAACTAGTAATTGTTTACAATAATTTTAATTTTTTCTTATCAAACTTTTATCGCAAAAACACGTGTTTAGTAATACTATTATAAAATGGGAAAGTTGTGATGGTAATCAAAAAAACAAATTTACTTATCATTTGGTTTAACGTATTATGTTTATACTGTTATCAAAAGTAACACAAAACATTTTTTATTGTTTGCGGTCCACAAGTCTATAATAACATTTAAAATTTCGTTTACATACGTCAACATATAATATCACGGTATTAATCCACTTACGTTTGGCTGCACTATGCCTATGTCAAATCTAATGCGAGGACTTGCAAAACAGTTTTTGTACTAGCACTATATAACTTAAATGCTAATACACTGTGACTTTAATTTCAGTCATACACTGTATCATATTTCGTTCTTTATTTTATCTTTGTACTATTTTTTACAAAAAATTAAACTGTAAAAATCTGCAATTTCAAGTTATTTTTAAATAAACCGTAAGACACTGCTGAAACAAATTTGAAAGCGTTCGGCCGGTCCAGCACGTGTGGACCCAAAGCCCAAACTAAAGAAGAACCAAACAATCGAACTCTGCCTATTTATAAGACTAACAATAACCTAAAACGTGATAAAATAAACCCTTTTGCAGACTTCAATTACAATGAGGTTGACCGTTTCGTGTTGGAACAAGTTTTTCTTAGATACAAATCAAGGTCAGAACAATAGTTGATAAGATTGTTTTCAAACTTCCGGTTGTTTAAAACATACAGAGTTGATTTGTAAATAGTAATTTATAGGTTTAGGTGATAAAGAAGCTGGTTGTATGAGGTTGGAAGTTTCCTTTTTTAATTTTTAGGCAATTTCAGCAAATTTATGTTAATATTTTTATTATCTCCTGTATTTTCTTTTTTAAAATTGTGTCTACGGTGCACTTCTTTGATTTTGTTAACATCTTACCTTATTAGCCAGTTCGTACTTAAGGTGCTTATGTCGTAACTGATTTAATTACCTTCTAATAAGGACAATATTTGAATGTATTTTATTTAATTTACAAAAAAAGCGAATGACAAATTTGATTTAGCAATAAATGCAATTAAAAAATTTTGACGTAGAGTGTTTCAAACTATTTTAAAAATTTTTATATTTACTTTTTTCTTTTGACTTTTATGTTTTTCTTCTTTCCTTATTTTATATTTTTTGCTTCTAACAAAATATTTTTACAAAAAAAGTAATTATGCTGTAGTAACATACAAGTACGACGGTATTTTTGCTCCCACACTTGTAATTACTGTAATCGGCCGCGTAAGAGACTTTGAGAACATTCGCGAAAGCAAAAAGTATATCATCTTGTTTACCCATTAAAGTAACAGGGTGATTTATCACGTACGTAACGAATTTAATGTTGTTAGCTACGTTACCTATTTCTTTCTATAGCATATCATTTATCTTCCTAACATTTCCCTCAAGGTGAGATCTGCTGTAAGTACTCTGTCATAGTTTATGTGCTGAAAAAGGCTCTTTGAATGAAGCTTCCAAAAGTGAACTTTTTGAAATTTTTAGGCAAGCGTTTAACCTATTTGGTCATTTTTGTCTTTGTCGTTTGAAAACAGTAAGTACTCTGAAATATAGTCAAAATAAAACCAATAAATTATAACTTATAACATTTACTACGTTACCTAAAATCCTTTTTTTTCATATAAAGAAATTTGC